GATAGAACCCGCAACCGTATGAACGGCGACAACACTAAAAAAGCTATAACTACCAACGCTCCGGCTTCACCTCCTAAACATGATCGAGTCATCAATGTTATCTCTGGAGGATCAGAAATAAGTGGGATAACTCACTCAGCTGCGAAACGAAACACTAGAGCAGTCAAAAACTATCAAAGCAAAGGAGACTTTACACAAGGTGGTATGACATCATGCACTATAACCTTTACCGCTAATGAGAGCAGCATATCAACTCCACATCACGATGCGTTGGTCATAAAATTGACAGTTGCTAACTGTTTGATGAAGCGAATCTTAGTCGACAATGGAAGCTCTACTAACATTCTTTATATGCAAGCGTACAAAGAGTTGGGTCTCAACGAGGAAGGATTAACACGAAAATCTACTCCATTAGTAGGTTTCAGCGGTGAAGTCAAGCAATCTATTGGCGAAGTGACACTTCCAGTATATGCAGAGGGAGTCAATAAACATACGAAGTTTTTGGTAGTAGATTGTGCTTCAGCTTACAATGCTATTATGGGACGTCCTTGGATTCATGACATGGGAGCCATTCCATCAACTCTACACCAGACTATCAAATTTCCCACCCCATGGGGAGTTAAAGAGATAGTAGGAGAACAAGAGAGCTCACGCTCGTGCTATCAGACTACCTTAAAAGGTAAAAGTCAACAATTGTAGCAATTACAGAAACCACCGTTGGTGCCTCACAGCGAAGAACCAGAGGTGGAACAACTTGATGAGGTGCCACTGCTCGAAGATGATCCTGACAAACGAGTGAACGTAGGTTCGAAACTTCCAACCGATATACGCAAAAGGCTTATTGACTTTCTGAGATCGAACGCCGATTGCTTCGCATGGACGCACGCCGATATGCCTGGGATCGACCCAAATATCATCATGCATCGTCTAGAAGTAGATCCCGATCACACACCAGTTAGACAAAAACGGAGAAAGTTTGCACCTGAGCGCGATTCCATAATTAATAAAGAAGTCCAAAACCTTCTAGAGGCAGGATTCATACGTGAAGTACAATATCCGGAGTGGTTAGCCAATGTTGTGGTAGTCCGAAAGAAAAACGGAAAATGGCGGGTTTGTATAGACTTCACTGATCTTAATAAGGCATGCCCTAAAGATCCATTCCCACTACCCCACATCGACAAGTTAGTAGACGCCACTGCTGGACACCAACTAATGAGTTTCATGGATGCTTTTAGCGGCTACAATCAAATCCTAATGCATCCAGAAGACCAAGAAAAAACCGCCTTCATGACTACACGAGGCATATATTGTTATAAAGTGATGCCGTTTGGTTTGAAAAATGCTGGCTCTACGTACCAAAGACTTGTGAATATGATGTTCGCTAGCCAACTTGGTCAAACTATGGAGGTTTATATTGATGATATGCTTGTGAAGTCATTAGTGGCTGAAGACCACATTGTGCACTTGCATCAAGCGTTCACCACCCTACGCAAATACAATATGAAGCTAAATCCTTCAAAATGCTCGTTTGGTGTCAGCTCAGGGAAGTTTCTTGGATATATTGTCACATACCGAGGAATAGAAGCTAATCCAGACCAGATAAGAGCAATTCAAAGTATCGCTCCTCCAAGGAACGTAAGTGAAGTGCAGAAACTTACTGGTAGGATGGCTGCACTCAGCAGATTTATCTCAAGACTCTCTGATAGATCTCACCCTTTTTCTCTGCTTTGAGAAAACCGAAGCCAACAGACTTTGTATGGGACGACAACTGCGAAAAAGCACTAAAACATTTGAAAGAGTACCTCACTTCGCCTCCTGTTTTAGCAAAAGCCACGGATGGAGAAGTGTTGTTGTTGTATCTTGCTGTGTCAGAACATGCTGTTAGCGGAGTCCTCGTACGTGAAGAAGGAAACAAACAATATCCTGTATATTACGTGAGCAAGTCTCTCTTAGAAGCAGAAACAAGATACAGCCACCTAGAGAAACTAGCACTTGCACTGATAACAGCAGCACGAAAACTACGTCCATACTTCCAAGCTCATCCTATCATACTAGTAACCTCATCACCCATCAAAGCAGTGCTCCACAAGCCAGAAGTTTCAGGAAGATTAGCTAAATGGGCAGTCGAGCTTGGAGAATATGACGTTATATATAGACCAACCACAGCCATAAAGTCACAAGTGTTAGCTGATTTTGTGGCAGAATTTGCACCGAACCTAATCCCAGAAGTGAAAGAAGAGGTAAAAACGCTTCACGATGGGACAAGAAATGGGGAATGGAAGCTATATGTCGACGGCTCCAGCAACATTCGAGGAACTGGTTTAGGCCTTGTTCTTACATCTCCAGCAGGAGAGATAGCTTCAAGGGCAGTTAGATGTAATTTTCGTGCTACCAACAACGAAGCAGAGTATGAGGCGTTGATAGCAGGGCTAACATTAGCTCGAGAGTTCGGAGCACAAAACTTAGCAGTTTTTAGCGACTCACAGCTAGTCGTTAACCAAACCCAAGGAGATTACCAAGCGAAAGACTCTAGTATGGCAAGATACTTGAACGTAACGAAGGAACTTATCAAGACATTTGATAACTGCAAAATTAGTCAGATCCCAAGAGAGGAGAACAATCACGCAGATGCGCTTGCTAATCTTGGATCCGCACTCAAAACTGACGCCTCAGTCAATGTACCACTATTGATCTTACAATGGCCGGCGACTAACAAAGACATAGAAAAGCAAGAATCTTGCGTAACAACAGAAGGCGAAACGCCGAATTGGATGACCTCAATCCTCGACTATCTTCAGAGCGGCGTCTTACCAACGGATCGCGCTGAATGCAGAAAGATTAAGCAACAAGCTGCACGGTATGTTCTCGATAAAGGAAAACTATATCGTAGGTCATTTTCGGGCCCCTTTTTGAAGTGTATTACGGCGAATGAAGCTCAGAAAGTTCTGGCCGAACTACATTTAGGAGAGTGTGGAAACCATTCGGGTGCACGAAATCTAGTATTGAGAGCCAAGAGAGTTGGATATTACTGGACGACAATGAATGAAGATGCTGCACGATTCGTTCGACAATGTGATAAGTGCCAAAGATTTGCTAATGTTTCAAAACTACCACCAGAAAACTTGAAAACAATCAGTTCACCATGGCCATTCATGAAGTGGGGTATGGATATAGTTGGAAAGCTGCCAATGGCACCCGCCCAAAAAGTTTTTCTATTAGTGGTGACAGACTATTTTTCAAAATGGGTGGAAGCAGAAGCGTTCAGCCAAGTCAAGGAGCAAGAAGTTAAAAGCTTTATATGGAAGCATATTATATGCAAGTTTGGGGTGCCTCATGAAATTGTCACTGACAACGGACCTCAATTTGCGAGTAACGGTGTTAAGAAGTTCTGCGAAGACTGGGGAATCAAACTAAGTTTTGCGACGCCTAGACACCCACAATCTAATGGCCAAGCTGAAGCTTCAAACAAAACAATAGTCAAATTGCTAAAGAAACGTCTCGAAAAGTCTAAGGGCAAGTGGGTAGAAGAACTCCCAGGCGTGTTATGGGCTTACCGTACCACTACTAAGACATCGACCGGTGAAACACCGTTTTCGTTAGTATATGGGATGGAAGCGGTAATACCTTGCGAAGTAGGTGTGAAAACAGCACGAACAGAGCACCCAAATTTGCAAGAAAACGAAGAATTGATGAGTCTCGAACTCGATCTACTAGACGAGAAACGAGAAAAAGCAAGAGTTCAGAATTGGTGTTATCAACAGGAAGTGGCTAGGAGCTACAACAAAAATGTCCGAACACGGACATTCCAAGTAGGAGATTGGGTCTTACGACGCACTTTTCAAAATACGATGGAAGAAGGAGCTGGAAAACTCGGCCCCACTTGGGAAGGTCCTTACAAGATTGTCGAAGTCCGAGGTTCAGGAGCATATAAACTACAAGATAAAGATGGAAAAACTCTTTCCAATAGCTGGAATGCTCTTCATCTGAAAAGATACTACTTTTAGTTATTTCAAGCTTTCAACGGTGTTATTGGTGTTTGTTATCGACTTTTGGTGTTTATTTGGTTTAGCTTTCAACCTTTGCTCTAAGTTTTGAACAATGATCTTAATAAAAGAGGATTTTCTGGTTAAGGATAACAAAACAAAGGGCACGTCCCTGAATCTAGATACAAATAATGTGGGCATAAAAAAAAAAAAAAAAAAGAAAAAAAAAAAAAAAAAAAAAGACGTCATCACGAGGCGTTGTCACGATTCAAATCGTCGTCACGATACAAGACGTCGTCACGATGCAAGACATCGTCACGATGCAAATCGTCGTCACGATGCAAGACGTTGTCACGATGCAAGCCATCGCTATGATGCAAGTCGTCGTCACGAGGCAAAACGTCGTCGACACAAGGCAAAACGTCGTCACGACGCAAGACGTTGTCACGATGCTAGACGTCGTCACGATACTAGACGTCGTCACGAAGCTAGACATCGTCACGATGCAAGACGTCATCACGAGGCGTTGTCACGATTCAAATCGTCGTCACGATACAAGACGTCGTCACGATGCAACACATCGTCACGATGCAAATCGTCGTCACGATGCAAGACGTTGTCACGATGCAAGCCATCGCCATGATGCAAGTCGTCGTCACGAGGCAAAACGTCGTCGACACAAGGCAAAACGTCGTCACGACGCAAGACGTTGTCACGATGCTAGTCGCCGTCACGATGCAAGACGTCGTCACGATGCAAGACGTCGTCACGATGCAAGACGTTGTCACGATGCAAGCCATCGCCAAGATGCAAGTCATCATCAAAACATCTTTACTCGCGATTTCGCGAGAACGCGCAAAAATACTATTACGAGTATACAATAAGAATCTCAATAAAGAGAAATTACTCGACTGAAAAAAAAAAAAAAAAAAAAAAAAAAAAAAAAGAACAACAAACAACGACATTGATAAATAAAAGGGCTTCACAAAAAGAATTACTCGGTGGAAAAAAACGCTATAACAAAACTGTCCCATGACGCAACTTGACAGAGACAGATCATGTTTGGAAATTTATAAAATTGTCAACAATACCACATCATTGTCTACCACAAATGGCTCTGGAACATACAAAGTACTAATTAATTTTCGACATTACCAAGCAAACTGATTAGAATGAAATAAGAAAGGTGAAGCTTGTCATAGGAGAGTAGGGTTTGAGGTGCTTTGCCCGAAACCGGCTTGCTCTTGTGCCTTGATCGAAACAAGAGATTCATCGAACGTCGGAGGAGGCATTCCTTTGAACTGTGCTTGGCTACGTATCACAGTTTGATATTGCGCATCCAATTCGTCCAACTTCCATATGTTGTGTTCTCCCAACAAGCATTCACGCGAAGCTTCCCATCGAGCTATGATAGCAGCCCCGCTCAAATAAAAGTCTAGCTCATATTTCAAGACTTCGTTCCGCTTCTTAAGAGCCACAATCTCTTGCTGAAGTAGTTCTTTTTCCATCATTGAATTGGAATTTGCAGCCTGGAGATCAAGGATGGTTTGATCATGTTCCCGCACCCTTGATTCTAGACCAGAGATCTCATCATTTTTAGAAGCAATGGTCTTGTGAGCAAAATCATTCTTCGACTTCTCATTGTCAACTTCACGTCTCAGAGCTTCATTGATTTGATGCTCGGAAGACAGTTTCTTTTCAGCAAGATAGAAGGCAGACATTGCCTAGTAAAAAAAAGGGTAGTAAGGAACATTGCAAAATTAAAGCTGATAGAAGGACCAGCTTTATAACAACGATTTTTAAACTACAGATGTAAAGAGAGTAGTGTTTATGAGAAAAAGAATACCTTGAGAAGATCACAGTAAACACCATCAGTCCCTGTAGTAGCTAGAGATTCAAAGTTACGAGAAAGTATCTTCGATTTCAACTCATCAACAATTGAGCTACTAGAACTAGTAACCAGCTCACTAGGAGAGGGCTGAACCGAGACAGTCTTCAGTCGCCTTGCGTCTGATGAAGTGGCAGTGTCGCTCTGAGTTTTACGCTTATGTGTAGAAAGATCTCATAGAATTTGAATGTCATCTCCAGAATCAGCTAGCATTTGAAGTGATGATGAAGGGTTAGCTTCTGCCAACTTTCCAGAAGCTGCCATGAACTTTGCATAAATATCTGTAGTAGAACACCGCTGGTTGCTAGACATATTGGATCCTGTAGCAAAACATGAAGCAACAAGTCAACTATTAATTTACAGTTCGTGAAGGAATTAAAAAAAAAACTGACGTTTATTGACGTTCACTAACCCCAAATGGTGCTGTACTCTAAAGCGAACTCGCTAGTCAAGAACTCAACGTTACGATATCGCAATGGACGTTTTACTACTTCAAGAGCTCCAGCTCTACCAACTGGATTTGCCTTGGTTTTAACACCTGCAACAAACCAAGAAGTAGGAAAACCAGGATTATCACCCACTTTCATAAAAATATATTTCTCTCGCCATCCTTCTTCAAGCGACCTCCTAACATGGCACTCAACGTCAAGGGCTAAGGGAGGATGGTTCCTTGGATGCAGAGAATATCTCCCAGGATCAGAGTCAAATTTCGAAATGTAGTACGCGTACAACACCTCTTCTGCTTCTATAGCAATGGATTCTAGCTCTCCAAAAGTTTGAATAGCAATTAACAGTCGCCAGGCTGATGGATAAAATTGGCCAGGAGAAACTGCTAAGCGTTTGGCCATCTTAGCAATAAGAGACGGAATAACTTCCCGTAAACCCGCGGCAAAATACAGCTCATAGACAACAACCTCGTTATGCTTTGCATCTGCTGCTCGTTCTGAGGGTAGTGGAAGCCTTAGTGTGAGGGATGGGGACAGACTATAAGTTCTCCTGAGTTTGAAAATATCGTCTTCTTTCAAAACTGAGGGTGGGTTATTATGTAAAAGCTTCACATCCTGCGACATGCTGGTAGGAGCCATTCTATTTTCAGCACTCGAACTCGACCGACGGCGCACCTTTACTCTGTCACCAACAGTGGCCAAACCAACTACAAGGCCACGGGAATCACCCATTTATGGTGAACTGTCACCTTAAGAATTGAATACGACCCATGCCACAAAGGAGATTGAAATTACCTGAATTCTACTAAGGAGAACGAGACTCCATAAGTATGGAGGAGAGTAGAATCACAAGCCGCTGTAAAAAGTAGCAAAAAAAAAGAGTTAGCAAACAAAGAGATTTAGAACTTCTGAAAATTATAATATCTCTACAAATAATAGAAGCAGGAAAAAGAATTATATTTGTTGTGTAAAGGAACCAGAGGCATTGCCTTATGCTTTGCAAGGTGATATGGTCACTTGTAAAACAAAGCCGCAAAAATGGCTTCTGGAGTTCTAGGGTTCGTCAAAGCAAAAAAAATAATAAAGGGGGAGCTAAGAGACATCAACTGAAGGAGAAATGGGCTTATAGGGATGTATTTCGTGATGGGCTGAAGATATCATAAGCCCACTTTGAAATGAAGAAGGCCATATAAAAGTCCATGAGATAATAAACTCACAAGAAAACAATGATTATAAGCACACACACGAAAAGGTTTGGTGTTATAATGGATTGTACTATTCAAGTCCAGGCCCACATGCCTTTAACACTTGTGAGGAAGGAAGAGAAACAAGATATGTAAATAAATATGCACACTTTCAACGTGGGCCACACCCAACAACTTCAATGTCTAAGGTATGTTCATGGCATTTATTTATAAAAACTATATTAGCTTTATAGATATAGTTATAGTATATTTTCACTACTCTCTAAATTCTTACTAAGAAAATAGAGAGTGGGGGGCAAACTGTTGGACATAATTTTAATCATATAAATTATAGTAGATAAGTTCTATTGAAAATATGATGAAATGTATATATATATATATAACAAGTGGATATTCTTTAGAAGATTCTATCAAAACGGGCCAACGACAGGAACTGGGCCGATATGGGTCGATGCGGGCCGAAACGGGCCGATACGGGTCGATGCGGGCCGATACGGGCCGTAGCAAGATTAATAGACCGACTTTGTTCTGTTGTGAAGCAACCTTATCTGACCACGAAAATAGGAAAAAAGGCGTGATTATCTTGTGAAGAGGCGGTTTCTTAGCCCAATCCCATGAGGATTAGCTTAAGAGGATTTCTCTATAAAAGGAGAGCTACATCGACACAATTGGGGGAGAAAAAAAGAGCTCAAGAGACTCTCCAAACCTTCAAGGCACACGAATCAACTCTGGAAACTTGACAAGATTTCATAGATTATTCATTGTGCTTTGATTCTTGTAGCTGCTATTTGATATTCTAAATCAATAAAAACAATATTCGACTGTTTCTCTCGTTTTCCGTAGTCTCTAAACGAATCGATTACTTTTGTCCAAACAACGTGTTATCTAATATTCTCTTATACTCTTTGTCTTCTTACCAAAATTACTGAGATTCTCTAAGAATCTTTTTTCATAAAAGATTCTTAATTTCCTCAGAATAAAAAGATTCCTATTTACTACAGTTAAAAAAATCAAATAAAATAAGAATCATTAACTTCTCTTCCTTTTACATTTTTTAACCTAAAGAATCGGACTATATAAAATGCCTTATTGCCAAAAGATTTTTATTACCCAATTCACAACAAAGACACACACACTCTCTCTCTTAATGGCTCTACGCAGAGTTATCACAAAACGTCTCATTAACAGTTACAAATCCAATGTAACAACAACAACAACACAACACTCATTGTTCAGACAACTCTCACCATCAAACACAAAGATCTATCGTAAGTACTACATGACATCACCTAATGGTCCGAATCTTACAGACCGTATTGTCGGGATCAATATCGAATCCGTTGCTCCGCCGAGACGAGAGGAAGCAGCAGTGATGGGTTTGTCTATAAGTGAGACAAAGAAGCTGTTGAGAATATATCAAACTGAGAAGGTGAAAGCTAGACTTAGAGAGATCCCTAAAAGCTCTGTTTCGTATTTTGAGTTTGTTCGGATTTGTTGTGAGAGCTGTGGGAATGATGAGCAAGGTTCTCTAATCGCTAACTCTTTGGATCATTCTGGTTGCGTTGTTGTTTTAGGAAATATCGTTTTCCTTCATCCTCATCAGGTGAATCTCTAACTAGTAGTAGCCTCTCTTGAGTTCTTGGTCTTTTAGTCTTTTAGTATTTTACTTTTTGATAACACTTTATAATAACATAAATGATACATCAAAAAAAAAAAAAAAACATAAATGATACATAGATGATAGATGGGTTTGAGGAAAAACAATTCTTCAAAATCGTCAATTTTTGTAATTTTAACCTTTCACCTTTAAATAAATATAAAATAACATAAACTTAACTATTTTACAGAAAAGTGAACATAAACTGTGTGATTAAAATGATTTTTTCAAAGTTCATGATTAAATCGTCCCATGTTTGAAAGTTTGGGATTTTTATGACATTTTTTCCTGTTTTCTTACCAATAAATTGGTGAAATAATAACAAATAATATATCAAATTAAACCTTTCATGACAAAAGTTTAAATCAACCATTAGAGTTTATCAAAAACTAATGTATGTGATCGCAAAAAAAAATATGTGTATAAAACTTACATTACGTATTATTTTTGACTTTGTATGATTTATTTACATTTTCAAAAAGTAAAGGGTAAAATTACAAAAATTACACAAAATCAATGATATATCCACAACAAATACTATATATCCAAATTATTTTTAGTAGATTGTCTAGTTTCATTTACAATATTTTTTTAGTGTTCTACACGTATGTTCTTTTCATATGTTATAAAAAAATATTCAAATTAAAATATATATTTGGTGTAATTTAAAGTTAGTGGTTCCAAATGCAACATATTATAATAGATTTCTCACAAAATGTTTCTCTTTTATTTTAGATAGTTAAGTCAATGGAGGCAATGATCAAGCAAACATCACCACTCCCAAACGATCCAAGGAAAGAAGAGTTACTTCAGCTTGAGACTACAAAGAAGTGTATTGACATTAAGGCCAAACGCATAGTAAAGGCCGAGTTATATTGCGGTCTCGGGTTCCTAGCTGTGCAAACTATAGGCTTTATGCGTCTTACCTTCTGGGAACTAAGTTGGGATGTAATGGAACCAATCTGTTTCTTTGTCACGTCCATTCATTTCATCCTTGGTTACCTCTTTTTTCTTAGGACATCCACAGAACCATCATTCGAAGGTCTTTTTCGACAACGGTTTAAGACTAAACAGAAAAAGCTTATGGAGATGAATGGGTTTGATATTTTGAGGTACAATGAGCTCAACTCTTTGTTCACTAGCTCTCCGTTAACGTGTAAATCTCATGTGGTCTAGACGCATCATCTCCTTAGCTACTCTATTATTCGCATAGCTTATAAGTATACTTATAATTGGGCTTCAACTTGTTTGTATATTTGATAAATTAAGTTGGATTCCTAATTTTTGTGCATACTCTTACAGTCTCCCTTTTTAATGGGCTTAGGCCTGTGTTGAGGAAAAGTAACCGTTTAAAGAACAAACGTCAAAAAGAAAAGAACAAACACTAGAAAGATTCTTGTTTCATGAAGTAATTAGGTTATTTTACAGAAATGAAGATGTAATTAAGATAATAACAAAGATATATTAGTATGATTTCTTACCATCAAATACAAGCTTTTTTCAATAAACATGCTATTTCATTTCATTATGACCCTGTTTCGAATCGTCAAATCGATAGAAGTTTATTCTATAAATAAGTTGTTTACGGAAACATTGCGATGACTAATTCAAAATTTTCGCCAATAAAACCAGCAACACTAGCAATAATTTTAGAGTTAAGTAGAAAATTGCTAGAAAATATCGCTGATTATCGATGATAAAAATATAAAGTCGAAATGTTTGATTGGCGTTTTAATAGCGCATTAAAAAAAACTTTAAATTAAAATAAGCATCTTCTATTTGTTAAATTTTTTTTTAAAAAAAAATTGTGACAAATTGTCATCCATTAATAAGAAAAAATAAATAAAATCACCTCATTCTTATTTTGAATATCATTTTCTTCATTTTTATAAAATTATTAGATATATTTACCTTGATTAATTAACGTTAAATTTTTTTAAAAGAGTAAATGTATACTTAATCCAATAAAACCATCAACACATTATATAACATGTATCTCAAATTCTCACTTTTTAGCAAATCTAGCACATTATACAACATGTATAACACATTATATAACATGTATCTCAAATTATTCAATTAGTTCTTTAAATTATTAGTATGTCAAAGAAAGAACTAATGTATACTTAATTCTCTAGTATATGGTGAGGATTTGTAAAACCATTAACAAAAAGAAAAGTGAGACGTCTATATCCACTTATAGTCGAAAGGGCTAATTTAAGTTGCTGGTGGAACTTTAATCTACCAACTATTATATATAAATTATAGTGCGACTTTGTTTGTGATATTGAACACGTAAATAGCTGGAGCCATTACTACAAATCTTGACCAAAAACGCATAGCTAGAAAGCAACCACACTGTTGCATGCAGTCATTTTAATTTTGAATACAAAAGTTTTTTTTAAAAATTTCGAAAGACAGATTTTTGAACACAAAGGTAACAAATCCAAAAGCAACATTTAAAACACTCTATAAAACAAAGTTGTTTAAGTATCATAATACCAAATCTAAAGGTACAAATTTCTTAAACTTCTTATTTTCTTTTTGCGTTTTAATCGGAAAATTCAAATTAATCACCAAAACACGACAAAAGAACAGAAATTATAAATCTCTTGAAATTCCAATTCATATTTATTCAAAGAATATAAACAATTATACTTTTTTTTTTTAACAAATATCTTCCAAGGTGGATAGCCAATTCTTTAAAACATGCACATTTGATGGAAGAAAGTTGACCGAAGATCTGGAGAAGCTGTAACAAAAATGGATAGGATGCTAAGAATGAAGAATATGAAGAAGTATATGTTAATATTTCCAAAGAGATTGAATTCACTGAATTCACAGTTGAGAAGAGTCGATTATAAAATTAGTGGATATTATATTAAAGTTATGTATCAATTTTTTTTTCTTTTGTAATAATGTTATAATTGTTAAATCAAACCCATGTGAATGAATGAATAAATATGAAAAATAAATCTTTATTTAAAATTTAAATATTTTATTATTAACCTTTCAATTTTGTACGACTACTACCCGGCAATGCAATTGTCTATTCTTTACTAATTTATTTGAATTTGTAAACATTTTTTAGTATGGTTATGGAATAGTCATTCTCTTGTGCCTACAATTCTACTTTAACTTGTATTAATTTTAAAGTAAATTTTTTGAAAATGCATATTTTCTAATATCACTTTTCAAAAGTACCCTCAAAACCTTATAAAAAATCCTTTAAATTGTTTAATCTACCAAAAAAATACATATGCAAATTTACAAAACATACATAAATGTCCTTTAAATCTATCTAAATCTTATTAGTACTTAATAAATATCATACAAATACCTTATAAAAAATTTATAAAAAATATATCTTGTTTACAAAAGTTACTTCCGAGAGAAATCAATAAATTAATTTTAAAATATAATTGTTTAACCTTATAAGCTTTTTTTTTTACATACAAATTTATCTACATATCTAGAGTATACATTAATCCAAATAACAATCCATAAAACTCAAGATTATCTATTTTTCACATTTATGCTTAAAAATGCTTATATATATATAGAAACATATATTTAAAAGATAAGAACGATGAGTTGGAGAGTGAAGAGCCAGCTAATATTATGTCCCCAACAGTTTTCATTAGAAAAAAAAAAAATCAACAATTATATATTACGTGTAATTTAATACCAAAAAAGTATATTACTAAACTAATTTGCAGCTTTTAACCATAAAAGATTATAAATAAATTACACACTTTAAAATTTAAATCAAACAATAATAATTAGGGTCCCTAATAATTATAATTATAATAATTGTAATTATATAACATTATATCCTACCCTACACCCACTCCTACCCAATCCATTTGACTCTCTCTCTCTCTCCTTTTTTTTTTTTGTTTTCTCTCTCTCATCCTTTAGTGTCACTTGTTTCATTGTCGAGAGATTGCAAAAAAAAAAAAAAAAAAAAAAAAAAAAAATCTGAGATAATTTGTTGTTGTTGTTGTTGTTGTTATTGAGGTTGCTGGAATCTAGATCACCTGTTTTGAATCAGTCTTTACTTACCCAACAAAAACCCTAACTCTCTCTCTCATTTTTTATAAAAAAAAATTGAATTTTTCAAAGCTTTGATTTTTTATCTTTCTTCAGAGCTCAAGCTTGGGATTTGCTTTTTTTTTTTTGGGTGGGTGAGTTTAAAACTCAGTACAATCGAATGAGATGCACTGAGTTTGATTGGATCCGGGTGTGAGATTTGATGGAAGTGAAGCTCTGTGAATTCCATGGAGGTTGTTGTAGCTAAGTGTTGTTGTTGTTTTAGGTTCTTTGTTAATCTCTACCAGCTTCGATTCTTCATTTCTTTGGTAAGTTTCTTTAAGTAAGAAGCTATTTTTTTTTGATTCTTAGGGTTTGTTTTGGTTCCTGGGTTTTGCTCAAAATCAGATCTTTTGTTTAGTTAAACTTTCCCTTTTCAGCAAAATTGCTCATTTCGTTTTGTATATTAAGAAGTGTATTGTCTTTACTTTACTTGCAGTATCTTTAGTTAGCTACAGTTACTGTTTTAATAGTTCAATTTGTTTTTTTTTCAGGTTGTGTTGATTCTGTTGTGGTGTGGAGCTGCTGATGGGAAAGCTAGGCATCATCATAATCATCATAGAGTACATTTGGGAGGTGTGGAGAGTGGAGTTGATGGAGTAACTTCTCATTCTTGTATACATGATGAGATTATAGAGCAGAGGAAGAGACCGGGTCGGAAAGTGTATTCGGTTACTCCTCAGGTTTATCATGAGCCAAGAAGTGAGGATAAAGAGTATCTTCGTAATGGGAGAGCGTTGCTTAGTGTTTCTGAGGAGGAGGAGAAGGATGTGAAACAACCTATTAGGATTTACTTGAATTATGATGCTGTTGGTCACTCACTTGACCGTGATTGCCAAAGAGTTGGCGATATTGTGAAGGTGTGTATTCTTGTTAGCTTTCAGTAGTGTGATATATAGGGATTTGTTTTTTTTAAGTCAGGGAACTGAATTTGGTTTACTGAACTCAGTTGGGTGAGCCTCCTTCAAGTAGTTTAGGTGCTGTACCTGCTTGCAATCCTAATGCAAAACCTCCAGTTTCTGGTGATTGCTGGTATAACTGCACTTTAGATGATATATCTGGGGAGGATAAGAAGCATCGCCTACGCAAGGTTTAGTTGATCATTTGTTTCTTAGATAAGTGAGTGCTACTTGTGTCACACAGTTGAACTGATTTGTAAATTTTGCACATGAAGGCTTTAGAGCAGACTGCAGATTGGTTCAGAAGAGCGTTAGCTGTTGAACCTGTGAAAGGAAATTTGCGTTTAAGTGGGTACTCTGCTTGTGGACAAGATGGTGGCGTGCAGCTTCCTCGTGAATATGTAGAGGGTAATTGCATTGCTGTTTTGCTTCTGAGTGGCAGTTTCTTGTCCATTTAAACTTGTCTTGCGAGGTTTACTTTGGTCTAATCAGTTTCTTTCAAATCAAACAGAGGGTATTGCTGATACTGATTTAGTTCTATTGGTAACCACACGACCTACTACTGGTAATACCCTTGCGTGGGCTGTAGCTTGCGAACGTGATCAATGGGGACGTGCAATCGCTGGTAATTAATTGGCCATTTCCTTTAGTTGATTACAATTTTTAGCATTGCTTTGAGTTTTAAACTAAAGCCAAGAGTTTTGGTCTTTTTTCAGGGCATGTCAATGTAGCTCCCCGCCATTTGACTTCAGAATCTGGGACTTTGCTTTCAGCAACTCTCATTCATGAGGTTATGCATGTCCTTGGCTTTGATCCGCATGCCTTTGCTCATTTTAGAGATGAAAGAAAAAGAAGACGCACTGAGGTTTGTGATGAGTTATTAATGTTCTCCTTAGTCCAGTGAAAAAGTTAGCTGTGAATTACATGCCTCAGGCTTTTTCTTTTTTTCGTGTTTCATTGCTTCTTCATATGGATGAGATCATTGAACTTCCTATACGAGCCAACTTGGAATAAGCCATTGTTTTCATGTTTTAAGGTAACTGAGCAACAAATGGATGAAAAGCTTGGCCGGTTAGTGACACGCGTAGTGCTTCCTCGGGTTGTCATGCATTCACGGCATCATTACGGAGTTAGTTTCAATGTTTTTAATTACTTCCTTTTTAGAAATCAATACATTTAGTTAATTCCTGTGACGATAGTTTTATGCCCTGTATTAATAAGAATATCAATTGTT